GGGAGGAGCGCAGGGTGGATTTCTCCCTTCCCCACCCCCTCCCCGGACCCGGCAGCCATTCTTACGAAAACAGGTGGCGCAGTTGTAGGGAACACAAACACAGAGAATGGGGCGTGCAAGAATGTTCACGAACACTCGCGAACAAAAACCCGCACACAGGAGACCACGCACTCTACAGGACCCAGGCGGGGCACGCGCGCACGCACAGCCGGGCGAGAGATGCTGCGGGCGGTGATCACAACTGCAGGAGGCGCGGGGAACGCGCATCCCACGCAGAGGGGCAGTGACACAAAGGGGGGGGGGGCCTACACAGCCAGAGGCGTCTACGCCATCGCTGGAAAGAACCGGCGCAGACACAAAGGGGCAGGGAAAGGATAACTGAGCGCGTGCCCACGCGCCCCATCCTGGGTATCCCCCAGTCTACCGGGAATGTCACTCTCGCACGGACCCCCGGAAGGGTGCGCGGGCAGCCGAAAGATGCGCGCACGGCCGGGAGGTGCGCACACAAAGGGGCTACTCCCACCCTCGCACAGAAGCCCTCAGGGACCCACACTTGCAGAAGAGGGACATTAGACAAAGCGGACACACCCACTGCGGCCGACAAAGGCGGCCACACACAGCCCCCCGACTCCCAGAGCACAGGCCCCCGACCCACGGAGACACACCGCGGACACCACAGCCAACGAGGCGAGCGACGCGCACACACCCACACTCACCACACACCCACGGAGGGGGTGTGGAGGGCCCCTCTCCCCGGGCATCTCGGCGGCAGCGCGACAAGGTGACACATCCGGGAGCCCTGCCGCGCGCCAGGTGTGCACTCACCGGGGCCGGCAGCCCGCGAGCCTCGGACGCGGGCCGCCGCCGCCGCCGCCTCGGGCCCTCCACGTCAGCCAGCTGGCAGGCGGGAGCGGGCGGCAGCGTAGGCGGCAGACGCATCACGTGGGTCGCAACGCACATGCGCCGTCGCGCCGGGCCGGCCCCCTTCCGCGGCGGCGAGCGGAGCGATCCCGCCGGCACCCGCGCTCGCGCATTCCTGCCCGACGGGGGTCGCGGTGCGCCTGCGCCCGGACGCGGGCTGTTGTCGTGACTGGGCCTTTCACTGTTTTTCCTCTCTCGCCCCCCTGCGGCTACCTGGTCGGCGCCTGCGCAGGGGACTCGGCACCGAGGTGGCCGAACTGGGGGGAGGGGCCCGAGTGGGCGCAAGGATGACCCAAGGTCGAGGGTCACCCCTCCAACCACAACTGAAAACCTCACGAGAGCGCGGGAAAAGGCCGCGGGCGTCGAGGCCCAGGCCTGGGGAGGCCACGCCGGCCTCCTCTCCCTGTTTGCCCTTCCCTTTCCGCGCGGAGGCGAAGCCTGCGGAGCTGGAGCGGCGTCAGTCCCTCCCCCGCTCTCCCCTAGCCTGCCCCTACCCCCCACTGCGGGATGTGCGCGCTCTGGCGTGTGCTCGCGCGCGCGAGCTCGTGAGGTTTGGGGGCTGGTGGGCTAGTGTGCGCGTGCAGGCGAGGTACGGGTGCTTGTGTGCACTTGTGCAAGCAGGCGTACGTTGGGGGTGTGTGCGCTGGGTGGCAGTTTGCGGTGGTATAGGCTGGGAACGAAACTGCAGAGACTGCCCATAGCAAAGCGATGAGGTTATAAAAGACCGATGGTGAAGAGGAGTGAATCACTGACAGATGGTTGTGTTTCTTTCCCACAGATTGTCTAAAGCCACAGGGAAAATGGTGGAAAATTCACCGTCGCCATTGCCAGAAAGAGCGATTTATGGCTTTGTTCTTTTCTTAAGCTCCCGGTTTGGCTTCAGTAAGTACTTTTCTGATGGATAGCCAGGGTCTTTCTCTAGAGTTCAAGGAGCCCAAGGAAATTATTTCATTTGTTCGTAGAATGTGCACACGTGAACTGCGAGTCTTTTTACCTGTGTTTCTTTTTGAGAAAACCTGAAGGGAACTCACATTTGTTCAGGGTGTTTTATATGCCAGACATTAGCCTTAAAGATTTAATCTCAACAAATCTTCATGCTGCAGTGCAAAGTGAATGAAACCTGGTGCCTGCCCTGGAGAAAGTCATGGTTTCGTGGACAAGATAGATGAGTGCATCTACAGTTAACACTCAGTGCCTTGGGAACCCAGTGTAGAGATAAATCAAACTGGGAAGTCAGAGTTAGCTTTCTCTCAGTGAGAAGGAAGAAGTGGGAAGGCCTTGAATGAAGGCATGTTGGGGTTTGGAAATGAGAAGTTCTTTGTGGCCCCAGTGCAGCCTGTGGGAGCTAGGGAGTGGCAAGAATTGGATTATAGCAGTCAGCTGTGCTTTACATCCTGGCTCTCCATCAGTCCCCATGAGGTCTCATTTTACAGATGAGGAAACTGATGTCCACTGCGATGCAGTATGCCCAGAGTCACAACAGGCCCCACATCTCTCCCAAAAGGACCTGAAAATTATGAGTGAAATAAGAGGCAGAAAAATGGGTGCCCACAGCTTTGTAGGATTTTGTGGAAATCCAGGAGATGGGAGCACGGTAGTGCTTCTGAACCCTAACTGCCTCAGTCTGGCCAACCAAGCTGTTGGCTAGGGGAGTCTGTGGGGTGAAGAAGTTATAACTTGAGTTCAAATCCTGACTCCTCCACAGATTAGCTTTGTGGAGGACAATTTACTTTCTTGATTCTTCAGATTCCTCATCTATGAAAGGGTGGTGATGCTGTTCATGGGATGCTTATTAAGCATAACACAATCCTGTGAGGTAGATACGCCATTATTGTCCTCATTTTTACAGCTGAGAATACTGAGGAACACAGGGCTTAAATAATGTGCCAAAGGTCACAAAGACAGTAAATAACATAGAATTTGAACCCAGACACACTGAGTTGACTTCACTCTGCTGCCTCTTATGTATGTTGTGAAGAGTAATTGCCATAATTTATGCAAAGCACTTAAAAGAATGCATAGAAACAGGAAGTGCAGATTTCCCCCACTATCCAAAAGTACATTTTTATGAAACCTTTCATAAGCCAAATGGTGTAAAGCGAAGAAGCAGTTACCTAAGGGCACGCCTGGCTAACAGATGCACAAAATAAATTGAGATAATGCCCTCAGCTTGATAAAGATACTCAGCTGAGATAAAGATGTTCAGACACAGTTCAAAGCCATGGTGGCTGTCACTGAGATGCTGAGTGTAGCTCTGGAGAAGGAGCTCGAACCTGCCACTCTCCCTGCTCTGGGTGTGCACTGCCACTGCCACAGCTCCCTGAAAAACAAACGCTGAATGCTTTTTTACTAAAAGTGAAAAACCTCTTCAGATTTCTAGGGGCCACCTGTACTTGCATAAATGTTAGCTGCTGCTGTTACTGGTATCAGCATCATCAATTTTGTAAATCCCTGTTCTATAGAGTATTGGAAGGATTAAAAACTGTACAAATAAATAAAAGCAGTGACTTTAAGACTTAAATCCAATAGTACCCACAACCAGAAACTAATTCAGCAAATTTTTATTTCGTGCTTACGAGGTGCCAGGCACTCTCACAGGCAAGGGAGGAGCAAAACAGCCTAAAGTTTCCTGCCTTCATAGAGTTTCCATTCTGCAGGAAGGAGATAGCTAGTGGACAGATTAAATGAGTAAAGTTTATAGAGTGTCAGATGATAATGTGTACCATGGGGAGAAGCTGAGCAAGACAGGAGCATAAGGAGTGGGAGGAGGGTGCTGTTTTAAACATAGCAGTCAGGATGTGCCTCACTGAGAGATGAGTTTTAAGCACAGACTCTTTAAGTGAGAGTTAGCCCTGTGGCAGTCTGGGGAAAGAGCCTCCCAGGCAGAGAACAGCCAGTGCAAAAGCCCTGAGGATGCCAGTGGTTTCAAGGAATGGGAGGTCAGTAGAGTTGAAACCTGAGACAATGAGAGACAAAAAGTAATAGGATAGGTCAGAGGCCAGTACCCAGCAGTTATAATAAAACTAGGTGGTGGGTACTGGGGGGTTACAGGATTCTCTGTGTACATTGAAATACTTACTGATTTTAAAAACCAGTTGTCTGAATCTGCTCAGGCTGCTGTAATAAATACCATAGACTGGGTGGCTTAAACAGTAGATGTTCATTTCTCACAGCTCTGGAGGCAGGGAAGTGGGTGATCATGATGCCAGCATTGTTTATCCTTCTTCCTGTGTCTTCACATAGTGGAGAGAGAGCACTTAAGCTCTGGTTTCTTCCTTTTCTTATAAGAACACTAATCCCATAATCCTGGACACTCCTCTCATGCCTAACTACCTCTCAGAGCCCTCCCACTCAACCCTCCAAATCCATCAGACTGGGGATTTGGGTTTCAACATACTCATTTAGGGGGACTGTAGATTGTGATAATAGCTTTGAAGGAAAAAAGCGAAATGACAGAGTAATGAGGGCATGGTGGTCTGGACACAGCTGGGAAAGCAAGAGATGGGGGAAAGCCTCTCTTAAGGTGACATTTGAGCTAAGACATGAAGAAAGCTAAGGAACCATCTCTCTTGAGAGAGCCAAAAGAGTAACATTCCAGGCAGGCAGCACTCCCTACAAGTGCAGTGACCCTGCATCCAGAAGATTGTGTGAAGCACAGAAATGAGAGTGTTTGGAGCTGGAGCATAGTGCTTGAAGGCTAGATGTCGGAGAGGCAAGCAGGAGCCAGGTCATGGGAGTTCCTGCAAGCCCTAGTAAGGAGTTTGGATTTTGTTCTAAGGACATTGAAGGATTTGAACTGGCAAGTGAAACTGTCAGATTTATATTTTTGGAAAAACTCTCCATGCTGTGTGGAGAATGACTGCACCAGTATCTCTTTCTTCAGGGTTGAAGTTTCCAGACACCCACTCTGAAAACCTAGGAGTCCTCTTCAGTGGTACTTTCCTTCTGAGTCATCCATTAGCTCCTGCCATTGGGCCCGTGGGGCCTCTTACAGCCTCCCCTCTTCCACAGACACATCCTACGTGCAGCTATCACAGTGACCCACCTGAGATCCAGACCTGAGCTCCCTGATTGAAGGCTCTGGTTGGAGCCTGGATGGTTATTTCTCTTGGGAGTTTGCTTTAACTTTGTTTTTCCAGGTTCATAATTTACTGTACAAATTGACTATCATACGATGAGTTGACATTAGTTTCTCCAGGCATGGGAGCTTAACAGATGCTTAAAAATGGTTAAAATGGTAAATTTTATTTGCTACCACAATTTTTTTTAATGACTAGTAGAAGGTAATCGTGATCAATGTTACAAGAATTGTACAAATAAGGAGCTAGAACTAAAAGGAGGGAAAAACTCATTTCTGAGTTAATCAGGGAAGCTTTAAAGGAGGTTTTTTTTTTTTATCTGAACTTTGATGAATTGGATGCATGCTTTACTGACCTTTTTTCTTTTTTCTTTTTCATTCTTTTTCCTCTTTTCTACAGTACTATATCTTGTGTGGGCTTTTATTCCTGAATCTTGGCTAAACTCCTTAGGTTTAACCTATTGGCCTCAAAAGTAAGTTTAATATATTTCTTAAATAAAATCAGAGTATATTAATGCTGTTTTGAAGGATCAGATTTTGCCTTAAGACTACTCAAATCTTAAATGTTTTTTCTTTTAAGATTCATAAATAGCCATATAAAAATTGAAAGCTTTTTAAAGATTATCATTGATACGCTTTTTCTTAAAGATGGTTAGGTGAATACACATCTTTATCTCCATTTCCTCCCTAAATCTTGCTAAAATAACCCCACAGGAAAAAATAATTTTAAAGTTATAAACCCACAGGAACAATAATGGGATAGCAGAAAAAGTATCAATAAAATGTGAGAAAGTGGGTTGCAGATGGGTGAGAGGTAACTGACTTGATTTTCACTTTGCCACGTTGCTAAAGCAGGGAAGTCATCCAGGGTCTCTGTGCCTACAAGGCAGAGAGGCCCAGACATTGGAAGTACAGGGACCTCTTTAACATGGTGTTTCTGCATTGGGCTGAAAACAGTGTGTAAAGAGCATTGTTCCCTCAAATCCCCCTCCTCAACTCTCAAAACTGGGAGACCAACCCCCTGCAGAAGACAGGAGTTTTACGTTCTGGAAAGGCTGAATAAGAGTCTGTAGCTGGGGGAACACTAGGCCTAACTGAGTGGAAGTGAGAAACCTTACTGAAAACAAGAAAAAGTGGAAATCTGCACCGCTGAGCAGTAAGGTGCCTCCCAAGTCCCTCTCCTCACTGGGCCCTCAGGCTTGTGGTGGCTGGGCTGATACACCAGACTCCTCCCAGCGAGACAGCAGGGTCTTCCCTGAGGAAGCTGACCAGCTCGAGAGAAAGGATCATCATTCCTGATAATTAAGAGGTTCTCCAATGAAGGTCTCCCACAATGAAGGTCACCAGTTGACCAGCCCAGCCCACATATACACAGTGCTTCCAGTTAACTTTTAGTACTTCATTTTTAAATATGTAGAACTATTTGACTGTCTTATGTACATGTATTATTTTAATAAAAATTAAAATTAAGTTTTAAACCCATGACTTATCAGATATTAAAAGAAAACCTCGAAAATGAAATGCAAAAGAAAAAAAGGAAACTTGGAGGAAATGGAGATAATGCAAAGACTGGAAGAAAACTTTAAAAAAACAAAATCCTCAGAGATAAAAAAAAGATTATAACTATGAAACAATAGGATGCTATAAAATAGGGACTGTTCAGAGAATTAATGCCTTTGGAAATTACAAATACAATCATCAAAATTAAAACTTTAATTGAATGGTTAGAAGAGAAACCAAAAGCAATCTCCAGAAAGTAGAGCAGAATGTAGCAAAATAGAAAATAAGGAAAAGATGGGAAAGTGTAACAGCGAACAATCTGACTCTTAGGAGTTCCAGAAAGAAAAAACAGTAGGGAGGAAATTATTAAATAACACACCCAATAAAGCATGCAAAGTAGAGCCCTTGATGTGCCTAACTGTATCGAGAGGCACGTTAGAGTCATGTCAGAGTATTTGGGGATTGCATATTGATAGGTTCATGGGAGACCAAGCAAATGTTTCAGAGAAAATGTCTGAAATTGAAGAAAATAAATAATAACATGAGTATGTTGTATAGAAAAGTGGAGATAAACACCAAAAGAAACAACTTAGGTGCTAAAAGTGTTCCCTTTTGGGAAGTAAGACTTAGGGTCCAGTCAGGTGTGATACAGGAGAGCAGCTTCATTATAGGTCTCGTAGAACTATTTGACTGTCTTTTATGCACATATATTATTTTAATGAAAATTAGAAGTTTTAAAAGTATATAAGTGGTGAACTCTTAAGAACTGCAACTTTTTAGGAATCCTGTTACTTAAATACTTTAATACTCTCTTCTGCAGATACTGGGCAGTTGCATTGCCTGTGTACCTCCTCATTACTATAGTGATCGGTTATTTAGTCTTATTTGGAATAAACATGATGAGTACCTCTCCACTCAACTCCATTCACACAATCACAGGTAAATTCATATCAAAGGAAAGTGCTGGGGGTGTGGGGTATTAACACTTTTATCAAGAAAAGCAACCAGGAATAGGGTACAGTAAGTGACACACATTGACACAGTAAAAAGAAACTAGGAGAAATAGTGAAATTATACCAGAGGAAATGTTTACCTGGCAGAAATAAGTTCTCATGAATATGCTGTTTATAGCACTACTTAACAGGTACATTTTCCCTTCAAAACCACAAGTATATGATATGTTCTTTGGCAACTTTGCCATGTTGATCAAGGGATGGCAAAGAGGTCCATGCAGACCTTACCTGGGAGGAGGAATTTGGAGGGGTGTATCCTCAGGATCGCTGTGTACACCTGACCCCAATTACGTGGAGAAAAGGGCCACAGCTTGTTTTTGTAGTTTTATTTTTTTAAGTTCTTATTTCAAGTCTAAAGATTAAGATAAATTAGATTCCTGCCATTGCTTAGATTCTAGGAAGCAAAGTATTTTTTAAGTTCTAGTATGATTTTTCAACTGTTCAGTATTTCTTTTCTGATCACCTACTGTGTGTTCCCTGCATACTTGGCTGGAATTACAGCAAATAGATAATTTTTGCAGAGATGGGAAATTGTTAAGTTTGCATGAATGATTGTACCAAATGATTTAATAGTTTTGGAGTGTTGATTTAAATATCTTTTCTAAGCCTGTATGTAATTCTGTTCCTATGAGAAATGTGCAGATGGGACTTTAATCATCATTGTATAGTTGAATGAAATATTAATTTCTTATCCAAGTTAGAGGTTGCAAAAAGTTTTTTGATGATTTTTATTCTAACTGGAACATTTCTTCTGAAGGGAGAATTTAAGTAGCCTTTTAATTATGTTAAACACGGTGCTTGTCATTATCCAAACATTAGCCTAGTAAACTATGCGGTGGGTCTCCACAGACCACAGAGATTGTAGAAATAACTGCTTGAGTAAACAGTCTTTTGTCCTCTTCTTCCAGATAACTATGCTAAAAATCAACAGCAGAAGAAATACCAAGAAGAGGCCATCCCAGCATTAAGAGATATTCCTATTAGTGAAGTAAATCAAATGTTCTTTCTTGCAGCCAAAGAACTTTAAACCAAAAACTGAATTGTATGTAGACTTAACACCAAACTTTTATGATAAGTTTTTGACTTACTTTGACCATCTTTCTGATTAACACCCAATATTGAAATGTAAAAAAAGTAAGTTGAATTTCCCTTAGATTGCTCCATTAATATTATAACTGTTCTTAAATAGAAGTTATTAATAGAATAAATAAAGAATAAATAAAATACTGCATCACCGTATAGCAGACTTTTTAAAAAGAAGTATCAGTAGAAATAAGAAGCCCCTCCAGGAAGGCATTCATGTAATTTTCAAAGGGCAATTGTGTCCTTCCCATTGTTTGTTCTTACAAGCCCAGGATTCAAGCTCTTAGACTTGGGAGAAGGATACATTGAATATGTATGCTTGCTGTCAGATTCATGTCTGAGGAATGACTTCTTTAGATCCGGTGGTCAGTGGAGCCTGCTCAAAGAGAAGCGGTTAAGGTTGAGATTAGATTAATAAAAACAGGAGCCAGTTATACAAAGATTAGAGGGGGAGAGGGGAGATTTCAAGTCCTGAGCAGCCAAGGGGAGACCTTTGGATGGGAAGGAGCTTGGTGTGTCCTAAGGACTGAAGGCCAGCAGGGGGCCTAGAGCAGCTGCTGGAGGGTGTGAGGGGCTGTGTAGGCCAGCGTAAGAAGTCCGGATTTACATATCAGTGTGATGGGTTTGAGGCACTTTAGATACTGAGCTATTCGGAGCCTTTACGGAAGAGTGTGACATGGCCTGATTTGTGTTTTCTAAAAGCCACTGGGTGGTGGGTGGAGGGTGGGTTCAGGAGGGGGAATTGGGGTTGGGGCAAGAGTGTGGAAGTGAGGAGACCCATCAGGAGGCCAGTACATTGGTTCAGTGGTCCAGGCAGGAGATGCTTGTGCTTAGAGCAGAGTGGTAGCAGTGGAGCTAGGGAGGGGAGGGGAGGGAGGGGTTGGTCCGCAGCATTTGTTGGAGACGTAGTTGACTGGGTAGAGGGGTCTGACTGGGCAGGGTAGGCAGCCTACTGAGAGAAGTTGTGATCAGGGGTCATTCCTAGGTTTTGGGGGACTAAGGAACTGAGTGGATGATTGCACCTTCCCCTGAATCAGACAGATCTGGGGAAGTGCAATTGGGGACGTGGGAGGATTTGGTATAGGAATTAGTTTGAGTAACACTGCCTTATTAATATTTGGGCACGTCTCATGTAAGATTAGGAAGCTTAGATAGAAATAAGTTTAAAAAACAAACCATACATACCTTACCAAGAGTATACTCACAGTTGGCCAGTGGGACCAAATCTAAATTCATCTAGCAGTCAAGGCCTTCTAATTTTTGACAGCTTAAATCTCTACACTGAAGTGGAGCCACACATTTTAATTTATGCAAATTTAACTATACTTTCTGTTAAAAAGAAGGAAAAGAAAAGAAAAAGAAACTAATAATTTTAAATGGTTGGGAAAACTAGGACTTCCATTTTAATAACCATTTCCCCACCCAGTAGGCATGAGATGGATGATGTGAATCTACTGTTTCTGTTCCCTAATGTGTCCCAGGTCCTGTGTTATTTTATGGTAAGTGTATGTCACCACACTTAAGAGCAGTTTGAGGGCACCAGCCCACTCTATCAAGGATGGAATGGTAAACAGATTGTGTCCTGTTTATACAGTGGAAAACCACACAGCCATGCAAACAAGAATGAAATTACTGCTCTATTATTGTGAATGAATGTCACAGATACAATGTCGGGCATAAAAAGCCAGACATAAAAGAATATGTATGTACCATACGATTCCATTTATATAAGGTTCAAAATCAGGAAAAGCTAATGTATGGTGATAAATATTAGAACAGTGGTGTTAACTAGGAGGCAGCCTGGGGGAGTCTGCTGGTGAGTTGGAAATGTCCTATGTCTTGATCTGGGTGCTGGTTACCTGGGAATAAGGTATGTTCAAGGAAATAGAGTTATATCATGAAGACTGTGCTGTTAATGTAAGTTACATCAATAAAGTACTATGTCCCACGCCCAGAAATTGATTCATTGGTCTGGAGTGGGGCCCAGGCTGGGGTAATTTTTAATGTCTCCCAGACTCTTAAAACACTTATAACATGCAGTCAGCATTGGAACTTCTGCCTTCATTGATTGGACTTAACTAAGTCTGTGGTCAACCAGGGGAATGGCTGTTCACTTTGGAAGAGAAAGTGGCGGTTAATGGAGCTGTCCTCTTCCCCCCAGACTGTGGGCTGCAATTCTCTTGAAGGTCATCACCACTTTAGTACAGAGATTTCTCACCTTTTTTTTAAAATCTCAGGACCCCTTTTTACTCATAAAGAGTAAGAACCTCAGAGACTCTTTATGCGGATTATATTTGGAAATTAAAATTTTTTAATATTTGTTTATAAATAATAAACCTATTATACTTTCATACATTTAAGTAGCATTTTATGAAAAATAACTTTTCTAGAACAAATTTAGTGAGACAAGTAGAATTGTTTTACATATTTGCAAATCTCGTTAATGTCTGGCTTAATGGAAGACAGCTGGGTGTTCCTATCTGCGTCTGTATTCAATCTGTTCTGACACCACAGGCCGCAAAGCCTCTGAGACTCCACTGCATACTCGTGACAGAATGAGTGTGAAGACAAATAGCATCTTAATATTATTATCAAAATGACCTGACAGACCCCCTGAAAAGGTTCTCCAGACTATACTTTGAGGACCACCGGTTAGGGAGCCTCAGCTAGAGAGTGTGTGTGTGTGTGTGTATGTACTAGAGTAGAAACAGTAAAGCTGTGTGCTTTGCACTTGGTAATATCTTGATTGAACACCTTTTGTGTTCACTGCAGATCCTCTCTGTTCCACCTCTTATTCCAGCCCCCGATACTCCTTTGACCAGGTCCACACGCGTGCCACCTGGCAGTGCACCCTGGAAGCAGAGAGTTAACACCCACCCGTAGGACCCCCTGGGCAGGCATTAAGCTCCCAGAGAACTGGTTCTGAGCTGCTTTTCCTGAGCTTCAGGCAGGTCTCTTGAGCCCGAGCTGTGGTTACCATGGCAATGGCGAGCTTAGTGACAGTGTTGGCTCCTCTTTGTTTTGCTCCCTTACTCCCACTCCTCCCTCCTGTCACTTTCCAGACAAGCTGCCTACACCAGCCTTTGTCACAGGCTCTGCTTTCAGGCCCACGCTGACAGGTTTATATTTTGTAAAAATGTTGCCACAGTTACAGGGCCAAGATGTGTGGTGCATTTCCCAGCTGCATGTCATAATTTAAGAGAAATGTTTGAAAGACACTGCTTTGCAGTAAGCCCGACTCATAGCATAAAATACTCCAAGTGAAAAATGTCAGTAATATAAAAATGTTCCACTTTTAACAAAACTTCCTCCAGGAATGAGATTTTCAGTGAGAAAAGTCCAAATAAGACTTTCCAGAGGTGAAAAGAATTCAACAGAATTCAAATCCAGAATTCTGCGCTCCCTCATTTCTTGATCTGCCCCATTTTAGTCCAAAGGATCTCAGGTGCGTGCTGCCCCAGGCTTCCATTAAAACACGTATCACTCCTTAAGCAAAGTGACCTAACAAAAAATTTCTTCTATATCCCACTTCTTCAAATAGTTGGTAGGACACACAATATTATATTACCAACCCCACGCCTTAGAAAACCCAACGAAATCAACTGCCACAGCGGTTATCCCAGAGCCCAGGACCTTGGACAGTGCGGCCCCTCCGCATCTGTCACTGCAGCGCAGACCGAGTTGACAGTGGGGAGAGGGAGGTGGGGAAGAAGCGGTTCCTGATTTGTTTTCCCAGTTTACAGGGCAGGCTGGGGCAGTCAAGTCACTCAGAGTGGAACTCAATTAGGTAGACTGTGGCACCATTTACTACTTTGGAATGGTCAGAAACTTACTTATCCCATCTTTTCTAATCAGGACAGTCTAACTCAAAACACAACAAAAGTTAATTTTTCAAAGAACAGCACTTGGAGATTGCCCCCAAGTGGGGCCATGTAGACAGGGACAGCTGGTGTCTCAGGGGTCACCTGTATGGACTCGCAACCAGGACTGAATGTTCTCTCCCACCCTGGGCCTTGTCGCTACGTATGTCCCAGGGTGCCAGAGTGGTGATGGAAACCTCAGGAACCAAAGGAGCCACGGAGTCAGAAATGATGACATAATGGGAAATACTTGTACTTCCTGCGCAAGTGCATGATAGAGGAAAAACCTCTCTGATAATTCAACACCTACCTCAGGCTATTTCTGCAAATCCAGAGTGCCCAAGCACTGCTTGTGTAGGTCACAGTCACCAGGCGGGGGTGGGGGGAGAGGTCACGTGGCCAGGGCTGGATGACGCCAGCCTCGCAGTGACTCACTCTTCAACTGCCCCAGAATGGCCCATTTGCGTTACTAAGCCTGTTTATGCAGCCCCTGCGTATTAGAAGCAGCTGTGAGTCAGCCTGAGACAGCTGCTGTGGCTGCTTCCAGAGGCCCTTCCTGCCCCCTGACACCCTGGCTTCCAGCACCACCTCTTTTCACTGTTCTCAGTGATGCTCCGTGGTGTGGCGTGCTCTAAGCACAATCACTCTTCGCCGCCCTTCTGTGAAGGACAAGCACCTGACAGGAATTAAAATACGGTATCCAATTTATAAACCTGAAGCCCAAGCCAGGCTTTCTCCCCTAAATCCGATGTGAGGGGGGCCAGGCCTGCAGATCTAGAGACTCATGCACGAGACAGTGGTGGGCTGCCACCTGCGAGGTCCAGGCAGATAGCAGGCAGCTTGTGTGCAGTCAGTCACCTTTGCCCATTTCCACCCATCGGCTAAGCGGCACCTGCCCCCAAGAGGGTAAGGAATAGGGGATAGAGAGACTGGCAGAAGTGTCTTCCCCAGGAAGGCAGAAGTGTCTCTGTCACTGAGGTAGAGATGAGGAGAAAGACCATGGCTCCCTACACTGGCCACATAGGTTGTCTCCTGGTTTTCCCTATAAAAATAATAATCGTACTGCACACACCTCTGGAATTGTGTTCCTGGGCTAGCCTCCTTACCCTGGAATTATCAGAGTCAAAGGGCTTGAACACTTTTAAGACACTTGGTATAAAATTCCAGACTGATCTCCAAAAAAGGCCTATGAATTTACACACTCTCTGTAACTCACTAACATTGGGTACTACCCTTATACTAGTGTGATGGTTAATCTTCTGTGTCAACTTGGCTGGGCTCAGGGATGCCCAGACAGCTGGTAAAACATGATTTTGGGGTGTTTCTGTGAGGATGTTTCTGGAAAAGATTAGCATTTGAATCAGAAGACTGAATAAAGATCTGCCATCCCCAGTGTGGGTGGGCGTCATCCAATCCACTGAGGGTGAATTTCTCTCTCTCTCTCTTCTTTTTTTTCTAATGGAGTTACTGGAGATTGAACCCAGGACCCTTCACATGCCAAGCAGGCACTCTACCACCGAGCTATACCCACACCTCTCTCCCTCTGTCCCTCCATCCCCTCTCCCTCTCCCCTCTCCCTCTTCACATCTCAGCCCTATAATCACATGAGCCAATTCTCATAATAAGTTTCATGAATCTGTGGATTTCCTATTGGTTCCTCACATTGAGAGTATGTGAAATGTCACAGTGTTCCATTTTTCCAAATCTGACTAAGGATGTTTTCATTTCCCACTGTCCTTCGTCAACAGGAATTTCCGAATCATTTATCGAGGGCCTTCCTCACACTTCCTCGGTGTTTGTGCTTATTCTATCCAAGAAAATGGGAAAAAATACTGGCTTTTAGCCCACAGTATTTGCCCTCCCCACCATTATTCCACCCTCTCCCTCGCCCCCCCACAGACGACCTCAGGCTCATGTGGTTTGTGTTCAGTGTCCACACGCCTCAGGTGACCGCCCTGAATGTTGTACACCAGCTCTCGGACCTCCATTCCTCTCCCTGTCTCAACACACATGCAGGCATCACCCCCTCTGTGGCAGGAGTTTCGACGTCCCCCAGCTTCCTTTGAAATGGTTCCCACATGGTAACCTGGAATAAAGCCCCTTCCCCTACACCACAAGGCAGTGTGACCTCGGCTTTTTCTGGGCAGTGCCTCCCACAGAAGGGGAAGGAGGGTGTGTAATTTTTGCAAAGTGCCTTTCAAAGGAGGAGTGTCCCTTCTTCATCCCTCCTCCTTCCAGCTCTCTGGCACATGGATTTAATGACTAGAAATCAAGATGTCCCCTTGGATCGTGAAGTGACATGAGGAATAGAAGCCACACAGCAGCAGAACAAAAAGGTAGAAAGAGTCCGAATCCTGCCACCACGCCAGCCCTGGGTGGCCTGCCCCTGGTCTTGGATGTGCAGAGACTTCCCTCTGTCTTGTTTCAGCTGCTGTTATTTTGGGTTGTCCATCATAGACAAATCTGAGCCTGCCCATACCTTTCCCTTTGGGGTCTAGGCACAGAGATGTCACCTTTACCCTCTGGGGGTAGCCCTGCTAATTGCCAGAATGGGCGTGTGGACACTATTATCAACCTTTGAAGTGGCCCTGGAAAACTGAGGGGCTAAAATGCAGATTCCCAGCTCCAGTGAGTCTGGAAGTCCTTGGAATCTGCAGATTTAACAGGCATCCTTGGAGGGTGATGGGAATGGACCATAGACCACGTGTAGAGAGCGAGTGGACCTCTGAAATGAAAAGTCTGGGTAGGGATGGTCTCCAGGCTACAAGTTCTCTTCTCTCTCTGTGACAACTTCTGTCCTCCCACCGCACCACCCCCTCCAGGTGCACACACGTGCCACCCCCACCGATGGAAATCTCCACCCTGAGCGGGTCTGTCCTTCCTGGGCTGCAAAGGAAAGACTCTGTATGTTTTTTTTTTGGCTGAATCGATAGCAGGAAAAATGAGCAAGGTGCCTGAACGTGGCTCAGTAATCACTGCCTGTCCCACTTTTGTTAATATAGAAAGTAAAGAAATACTGTGTAGTTCTAATTTGTAAATCTATTTACCTATTTTATTTATTTATTTTTGACGGAGGTACTGGGAATTGAACCCAGGAC